GAAGGGGGCTGCCTGCCTGATTTTGATTGGACGGAGGATGGTTCGGGCCTGAAGAGAGATTCCGACGATTCAGTCGCCAATTTCCTGTCTGGGGAAGATGAGGTGCCAGAATCACCATCCTCCAAAGTACCTGGTTCATCTGTTTTCGCAGCTACTATGGGAGGAGGAGGAGCTGGACCTTTATCGTGTGAAGATCGTTTCTCAGTACCCTCAGACAGTTTCTTTGTCACCTAACAAGAACAACACACTTCTGTTAACAAATGGCACAACAGTTACTAAGCTTGCGGATATTCAGGAACATCTTTTCATTTTAATTGTCATTACTTTTTAATTTAACCAATTTCCCCCCCCTCCCCCCCTCTCTCTAATACACTTTCCAGACTCCTTTGTGGCAATCTTCACATTCTATAATAGCCTGTTACTGTAAAATGTATCAAGCAAAATCTAAACGTTCGCCTCAAAGCCATGACACTTTTCTGTGCCAACACTGTACCATCGTAGAAGTAACACATCCCCTACAAACATAACCATGTTATAATTACTGCAGTCTTGTTGTTATCAATGGAATTGGAATCTTTCTCCTCTTCACACTTCCTCTTCTTTCTCTCGCTCGTATCAATATCTTTTTCGGCTTCTCTCTTCAGTCCCTCGGCTTCATCCTTAATCTCAGATGGAGTTCCCACCTCAGGCACTGCAAATGGAGAGGAATTACATTCACATACAACAAATGATCTTTAGATAACTTGTTTAACAGAAACCCTGGTTGTAAAATATCAACCAATTTCTTATCGCACTTTCTGAAAGAGGGCGAGATTAGGAAGTACTTTAGGAACAACCATCCAGCAATCACACTATTCAAAGACCAACTGAAGACACCATAGGTTTGTTCAATAGTTACTTATAAACCCAAGATTTGAACCTCATTTTTAAATATCTTACTTGCATCTGCTTTATTTTTAGCACAAGAAATCAACTTAAAAAGGTCATTTATACTGAAGATATCAAAAATCAACAAACCTCCTTGTGTAGAAAAAAATAATCTGTATACATAACACAACTTCACATTCTCTTTTAAATAACATTCATTAGAATCTGTAGCAATTCTTACTTTTTATATCAGTGTCACTCTTGAGGGAAGTTGAGTCATCTTCGCCAGTGTCCAGGTCCAAGGGAAGCTGGGACGTGCGGTGCTCCTGTAACATTCAACGTATAACCAGATTTATCTACGTTCACAAGTAATAGCAGATGAAAGAAGGCACAGCACTGTGAAACAACAGACATTAGATAATTAAGAGGCCTTAAAAAAACATTAATTTCTTACTATGTCAACTTTCAAGAACAGGATATAACATACCATGACTTCAACAGACAGACCCTGTGATCAAAGATCCCTAAACTGCATGTTCAATTAGCCCTTTTAGTGCTAGTCTGACCATCCTATAGAAGCAGGAGTGCCAAAAGTCCTCTATTCATATGCTCGAAAGTATTTATAAAAGTGTTTATGGCAAATTGTATATGAATATTCGGATATTAATGTTTATATATCGTGCCATTGGCAGTGGAGCATTTTACATCTACCATTGGAACATAACCAAAATGTTAGATACTGATGGTAAATTTGACACTAGCACCTGAAGTATTTTCTCAGATGTAAATCCAACTGACAATGCCAGTTTAACAGATTAATGATCACAAGATAAGTGCAGTCTTTGAAATGAATTGAGGTAAATCACAGTTTAAACTTTTACATCTTTGCAGTTTCAGTTAACCTAGCATTTATGTTTTTATTGAACAATTTTATTACTACTGACCAATATCGTGGCAAAATCCCACAAATACAGGCCTAGAATAAATATGACAATCTACGTGGTCTACAAAATGCAGGAATCCGTTACTTTCTAAGAAGCTGTTGATTTGGAGAAAAGTAACCAAGGTAAACAGAACAACAGATGTGTTCAGGCAATAAATACACCAAATAAAGCCATAATACTCTACAGAACACAAAAGACTGATTAAAAATAAGTTGTAATGCACCATGTAATGCTTTTTCAAGTCCACATGTGATTTAATGAGGCTTGACTATAATCAGAAAAACTTAATGAAATCGGTAACATTAATTCAGAGGAAAGCAAAGAGTTATTTACACATGCAGTAAAGTATTTTTTTGAACACGTAGCCTGCAAGAGTTTTAAATATTTCAATAATTACAGCTTTACCTCTGCGCATTCTCTACAAATCCAGGGGCAAACCCGAGATGTTTTATAACACCACAGTGTCATTTAATTCCAAATGTGCTGACAATATCTGATCAGCATATAATTAGTAAATCAATAAACCAGAGTAATAATTCTGAATACAAACTAAAAGGTAAAACTAGTGCAAAAGTCATACATAAAAGCAAGTGTGCATTTTCATGCATTTAACATTATAAAGATGGAGGTACTATATGTAGCGACAAAAATATGTTATTATACATCTATAACGCAACTTGACTCCTGTAAGACAGACAGTATTAACAAAAGTTTTTTTTTTTATACAGAGCAGACAGTATGTGATGAGTTGGATACGATGGCTTCCAAAAAAATTCCCAACCACTACGTATTTACCCTGAAAAAATGATAGATAATTCTCAGCAATGAACATGGCTCGTTTCCAAAGACTGAAGCTGTACAAGTCATCAGCGTTTCATGACATCGTCGAATGCGGCAGAATAATCATAGAAACAAGGAATCCTATCTCTTATCATTCATTAGTAAAGTTTAAAGCACCTTTATTGTTTTTATACGGAACAAACATATAACATGTCTTGTTTCATAACATTTGGACCAATTATGGGCAGTACCATCTAAGATGGAAATTTTGGGGTATAGTGAATGGGAATAGTCGCAACTATTCTGAAACTTCTATGGAAAAAAGATCCTTGTTTCACATCAACAGATTCTGTGCCAAGGGAATATAAAGTACAATTCCTTCCTTGTGCTAGGAACAGGAAATGGTCCACACCCACAGTAGCATTATTTCTGTCAACATCAGCAATGAACACTAAAAATTCACCTTGAGAACTGTGATAATTATATCTACCTCAAAACATCTTTCTTCTTGCTGCAATTTTGCATCACACATTATTGTGCTAAGTGCTCTCATGCACAAATAACGTGGTTAAATAAAATCTTAAAGTGATTTTGGAATAATCTAACATCATGTTCCCCTGTATTTCCTACACAGTTCATGGTACTCTATATATAATAACATGTTACAGGAACTACAAATAAATACATAGACAGAAACATCTGAGACATGTTTTTACAGCAAATGTCAAACTTTAAAGTAGATGACATGTTATACATATAAAAATACTTTCAGAACAAATTATTATTTGAAGTCAAGGCAACCTACAACTGCGACAGAACTGCGCAGGGCTGCTGATATCCACCGTTTTAAACCTCACACTCAACAACACGTCTGAACTGCAGTTCCATTTTAAATCTGTACCTGCGTGAAGTAACTTTCTGCACTTAATTGCATTAAAATGAAGAATTCTAGCTAGAAAATCAAAGCAGTGTTAACATATTTCATGAGAATATTTCCAATTCAAATATTTACTTACCACTGTTACTAGAAGTTCCTTTTTAATATTATTATGCACAATACCTAATCATGGATTCTGTAATGGCAAACATGTCACTGAAAAAATATCTGATAAATACGAAGAAAAATAAAGAAATTTTCCAGAATCCCATAAATGAACAACGGAGGAAAACATTTCAGTATTTATTTTCTAAATCTAAAGAACGGAGTAGGGCAGAACTGTGTTATATGCGACTAAATAAATAACAAGTATGACACCCAAGTGCTACTGAAGATGCAGAATGGAAAAGTACGAAATCTTGTACACTTAATCACTCACATACAAAAACTAAGGATGACTATGAAGGGTGGGAAGGCAAGTGGTAAAGATAATGCAGAAAGCAACTGTGCTTAGAATACAAAAGTATCTACATATTAATGTTCCTAGTTATGATTTAGTTCTTCAAGGTCGTACTGTGCAGCCAACAAACCCCTCTCAATACTATACCATTATCATACCTCAGGGGGAATGCAGTTTGGCTGGCGGGGCCCGGGTGAGCCGCATGCACAGCAGAAACACATCATATTAGATGGCATTAGTTATAATGATTCCATCTAAGGTACAATTTATAATGTGGATGCATGAGGGTGCAGTCTGTGTTACACTTGCTGCAGGTACCTCATAATCTAATGGACTTTAACGTCAACTAAAGCAACAGTTTTATCTATCCAAATGAAACCAATCAGCTGAAATAAAGCACTGTATTCTATTACAACACTTCTCGTATAGGATGTTACCACAGCATTACTTACAAAAGAATAAAGGCCAATGCAAGTTTAACACTTCACACAGTGTTTAAGTGGTCAATACCTATATTATTACATAACTCCTTAAATCATCCTGCTCTTAATTTTTAACCCTTTTCCTGCCAGTAAACTGATGAAGCTCATGGGGAAAATTTTGCTTGGCCAACCAAAACTACAAGCTCTTTTGTACATCATATAATTCACATACATGTTAAGAGATGGCAAAAAAAAATTCAAAATATTTTGATTTTCAACATATTTTGCTTATTTGTGCAAAGAGGTCACTACTGTGTTACTCAATTTCTAAGACTGGCACGATAATCCCAGGATTGGCGATTAGAACTCCTCTTCATCGTTTAAAACTGAGATCAAACATACTTCATATGGGTGACAATAAAGAGTAAGATGGAGTTAGGCATGTTAATGCTGACATATGAAATTAGGATGACAGGATTAAGAAGAAAACACACTACAGGCAAATATGTTAGCTGTAATACCAACACCAGATCATCCCAGAATTACACTCGGGAATCTAGCAAGAACAGCAGCTGCAGAACAGTATAAAGCCAGCTGATCCTGTGAGTAAACAAAGCAGGAAAACACCAAACACTGGTAAATCACATACCCTAGCACATCACTGAAGGAATTATTAGCAGTTGATGCCACACCAGAAACAAAATAAATACAAATAACGGACACCCATTAAATTCTAAACATTCAAAACCAAGATATTACACTGATTTCAGCTGAGACTTTAGTTTGTTGTAAGACCAAAACATGCACTGTGCAAGTAAAATGTAAATAATGTAAATCATGCAATTCATTCGTAAATTAGTTTAAAAACAAAATATAAGTCTCAAAGAGTGAATGTTCTCATTTTCAATACAAAATAGACAGGATATCCTAATAAGTTAGGAAATGTATGCAGATTGTAGCAAGTCTCTGCCACAATCAGACCTTTGCAAATGGCACCAGTGACATAAGTTGCGTAGTGTCAATGACCTTCGTGTGAATGGAGTGTCTGGCACCTGACTGGATGGGTGACAAATTCAGTACAAAGGATTCCCCCCCCCATGCGGGTGTATGTCTGGATGAGGATTCCTCATGCAGGGATTGCCCAAATGCAGATTCTCCTTCCCCACGCAACAATACACGTAGGCGTTCATGCAAAGTGCCTGATCCAAAGCCACACCGGAATGTGCGCACAGACTTTAACAAAATTCAGCAATAAAGAATTTCTCAAAAATATCGTCAGGTGTTTTCCAGTTGTTTCGCGAGGACGGAGAGACGTGACAAAGCTAACAGGTACATTTTGCAAACATTTGGTTGTGGAAGTGCCTAAAGCATGTGGTGTTATTTATTTGTATATTTACAGTTCATTTTAGACTACTACTTCAACAACCAGTCATTAAAAGCAGCATCTAACAAAGACACTTCAACTTGTGCTAACGAGTAAAGTGTATTTCACGTGTAAAAGTAAAATTCTATGCATAGGTCAAAGCATGATAAGCCATTACTATTTGCATACAGAAAAGTAAAATTTGTCATGCATTATATAAATATATTCACATGTGAAAAGAAACCCTGGCAGAGGTGAAAGAGAAAAGGTACAGTAATAGCACTAAAATAAGCGTTGAATATTGTGCGAACAGTTCACATTACTAATACCCAAGCCTACCACTGGGCAACAACCTGAGCCAGTTAACTTCACTTTCTGTAATGACGTGTCTTACATCACTGTTCTTAACATTATTTAAAAAATGTATCCAAAATTATGTTTAGATATCAATGTATGTCCAATCTGTACAAAAACTGCATTTTAAAGATAGATTGTATTACACACATACACAATACTAAATTTATGCAAGAACACGTTAAGAGTGGAAATACCGCACGCAAACATTACAAAAAATAAATAAATAAAAAAGCTTCTGATGCAAGAATAAAGATTTCTGTCTTCGAACAACATTTATTTTTCAAACTAAGTGATAACATTTAATATTAATTGCTCGACAGAAATGGATAAAAACAAATTTATCGTCATTTAACGATTGGGAAAGAAAATTGAATAAATTAACAAATAAACTAGTAGTATTAAAAATATATTAAAATTGGCCGTCAATCACAATATAAGATAATTAAAAGATTAAAATATCATTTTTCGTTCCGTATCGAGTACTCGATTTAAAAAAAATATATAATATTTTAATCTTTTAATTATCTTATATTGTGATTGACGGCCAATTTTAATATATTTCTAATACTATTTAAATAAATCACAATATGACGCACCTACAATATCAAATAAACTAGTGCACTGCTGAAGGCACAGATAAAACATTCAATGGCAATGAATTTGGCATTTAACTCTAATGCCCAGTGATCATCACATATATCACCTGCCTTATTAATAATCAATAACTCTGCATATTCTCACAATGTATATTCACGGGTTTCATAAGATTCTCAGAATAAACAGAGATTATTTCCTTAAAACAGCATAAAGAATTTGATCTTTGTAATGTTGAGGTGTGTGCTGTTTTCTATTTGTGATATGAGATGAATCTTTATATATTATTTAGATGAGCTACAACTACAAAGAGTTAACTCTGATGCAACAACCGATATCATTCACAGCCTATATACTTGCATATTGCATTAGAGTAGGGAAACAGAACATACAAGACTGGCTCCTACGCATCATTACCAAAAATTTAACAAACTACAGAGCCAAGCATTTATCGTAACTACGAACACAAATACACGTACAGAGGAAAGACAGTGTCACAGAAATGCTATAAAGAAACTTACCAATACGTTGGTATTGCTCTCTGTGCTTTTTCTGTTTCCTACCCCTCTACATATTTGTAAGCATGAAATTAATTTACAATAGTTACGCAATATTAAAACTGAACTATCTATTCAGCGGTGGGACAAATTTTATGTCATCTAATGAAACTGTGTATGAAGAGGTGAAACAGAAGCAGAAAATGCCAAACAATGAAAATAACTTCTTATTAAAAATATATATTAAAATTAGCCGTCAATCACAATATAATATGATTAAAAGATTAAAATATCATTTTACGTTCCGTATCGAGTACTCGATTTACATGTGGAACATACACGACATGTTTCGGCTATATATAGCCATCATCAGATGTTATGTATATAAACTTTTCACTGAATTACTGATTTTTTACTGATTTATTAATGATTTTTTAGGTTTTCATTTTTCTTATGATATTTTAATCTTTTAATCATATTATATTGTGATTGACGGCTAATTTTAATATATATTTTTAATACTATTTAAATCACAATATGACGCATCTACAATATCTTGAAAATAACTTCGTCAATTACAATAAAGAAACAATGACATTAAAACCAGGAACACTTGGGTAACTTTGTGGTCAGGTAACTAATGAATCTGTTCTCATTATGTTAAACATTTTTATACAGTATGATAAATGTTTCTTTGAAAGCTAAACAAACATAAAAACAATGAAACTAGAACAGAATTCAGCACTGCTGGGAAAACTTGTATAAAACCTACTTTTATCAGACCTCTCCCTCCACCCTAACTGCCAACCTTTCTCATCCTTAAACACATTTCCCTTCGTTTTAACGTGTCCTATCTGCGTATGGGGAGACAGACAGAGTACAAATTCCAATCCTCCTACTGGGAGGATTATGATAAGCAGAATGACTAGTTATGATGCAATATACACACGATCACACCTCCCTTGGATACGACCCAAACATAAAAGACCAGCATTTGCATCATGTAATAAAACCATGACTTAATTAATGTGGCCACTGGGACTTGTTTTAAAAGATCACACTTCAACTAAACCACATTCTTTTATTATTATTATTATTATTTAGTGTTCTGTCTGAGGACAGGTCCATATGAACAGGATCCTTCCATCCTTTTCACGGACTGGGACCTGTTCATATACGTTCTTGGCAGATGATCCAGAAGTGGTTTGCCATTGTCTTCTTCTGTGTGTGAATGGAGTAATTGTTGGGATGCCACGGAGGAAAACTCCGTGTTGCCTAGACCACGGCCTTGCCCAACACAAGTTATAAATTCGGGCACCGCCGGGAATCGAACCCGAGACCCCAGGATTACAAGGCCAGCGTTCTAACCACAACATACAAAGCCATAACATACAAAGAAAGAATATAGCGGCCCTCCTAAACAACAACGTAAATTACACAAACACAGTAGATGAGAAGACAAAATGTTTTGAACTATGCGAACAGGTTCTGACCAAACGGATTCTGGACAGGGTTCAATGGTGGGAAAATGTTTCAGTAACGCTGAACTTCCTAGTCTGACACTTCGATGCTGAACGTTACTGTAATTATTTTTGTACTTTTCAAATCTCTCAAACCTGACATTTAATTTTCTTCCCCCAAGTATTACAGACCATGAAATAATGTACTTTTTAATTGTAAGGGCCCCAAAGCACTAATTCAGTTGGAAGCAAACATCCACATGAGGAATGAAAACAGAAATAATGTTTAGCACTATGATGGTCTGCACTGCCTAAAGGACACAATTCTGAGAAACGTTAAACAGAAAATGAAGATCTTATTACTATTAACAGACGCATTATGAAACAGCTGTCATGGATTTATGTATATGCATACACAAAATTACACAGCAAGAAAAATGGCAGCTTCTTACAAACACAATTTCTTCTATAAGAAGCTTTAAAAGGAAATACAGTTTAATCAATTAAACCAACAGAAGGTACAAATTTAAAACTGAAAATACTGATAAATGAATCTTACCTCTGCTTCATCATCCAATAATTCTTCTTCTACTACCTCGGCTTTGTACTCGAGAAGCAAATCCCGAACTGGCTTAGAGTCCAGAGTGCAATTTATAAATGGATACTGCAAACCAATAACATGTTCACATTTCAGTACATTATTACTGAAGAATTTTACGTGGAGATAGGAACAGCGTTTCTAATTAAAAATTCAGATGATGCGTAATGTCGAATAAATCTGTCGTTGAAAAGTGATATCTGCTCCCACACCAAACAGCGGCTTCATTTGCAAACCTGGTGAATACAAGTAAAAGCTGTATGAGGTTTGAGCTCCTCACAGCGAGAGGTACATACCTGCAAGTCCGAATGCCAATAAAACTCAGAAAACAGCTTATCTTAACACTGATGCTGAACTGTGATTTGCTGACAGTTTAGATGAATTAGTTCAAAGTAAGTGATAAAGCAGTACAGTAGGGCCCCGCTTTTCGGCGCTCCGCTAATACGGCGCTCAACAGCTGAGTCAGAGGAGTGCGTCCGGCGCCATTTTCTCGTCGCTGATTCAGTCTGTTTACAGCTTTTGTGCGCTCCTTGTCTCTCTGTATTTCTGGCAATTTTCTAGTTATTACAAACTGTATATTTATATAATATTTTTGTGTTACTACAGTGTAATTACAATGGCGTCTAAGGGTAGTAGCGATAAAAAGAGGAGTCGTAAGCCTCTTACTTTAAATGCCAAGTTAGAGATGATTAAACTTCGTGAACAAGGCATGTCTATGGCTTCCGAACC